TGGTCTCCTCTTCACCCCCAGATCCCTCTCCAGCCATCCCTGCAGATCCTCCCACCGCCGCTCCTTTGGCTTTTCCTGGCCCTGCTCCCTCTGTCCCTGCTTTGCTGCCCACAGAGGGGTTTCCACCCCAAAGTGCCTCAGCTGCCCCCTCCTCCTCGTGCGCTGCCAATGTCCCCTCTGCCTGTGGTGACACTGCAGGGACAGGATCCCCCCGTGCCCCAGGTGCCATTTCCAGCACAGGACCCTTGCCATGCTCCACAGGAGCSTCTGCTGTGTTCCCCACTCCCCGGAGAGCATTCCCTGCCACATCCCGTGCCTGACCCCTCTCCAGTGCTGCTCCTCCTGGCACAGCTTTCCCTGTCCCCATCTGCTCTTTCCCTGACGCTTTCAGCTGGGAAAACTCATTTGGCTTTACAAACCCTTCCCCTCCAGGCATTGCTTCTCCTGTTTCCATATCCCCCAGTGCTTCCCAGAGAGCCCCAGGCTTCCTCACAGCCTCCACCCCTTCAGGAATGTCTTCCTCAACAGCCTCTTGTCCTTCAGGGCCAACAGCTCCAGCGATCCCACCCGCTGTCACACCATCCTCCTCATCCTCCTCCTCCTCCTCAGGCTCCTCTCCATGTGCCCCAGCACCCAGCAGAGTGCCATTCCCTGCACACCCTCCCTGCCCTGGGGTCTCCCCTACCTGGGGCACTGCCTCCCCCACCTCCTCCTCTGCTGGTGCCATTCCTGCCAAGCCTTCCTCTGCAGCCTCCTCCTCCTCAGGGGTGCACCCAGCGCTGTGGTGGCCCTGGGACAGGGCTCTGTGTGCCTCCCCCCCTGGTCCCTGTCCCCCAGCTGCTGCTGGCTGTCCCAGTGCCACCTCGCCCTCCATYCCCTGCAGCAGCACATCCTGCTCCCCGGGTGACACCTCTGTGTCCAACTTCACCGTGTCCCCTGTCCCTTTGGAACGTTCCTCTGCTGCAGTGCTTTCCTCAGGTGCAGATTCCTCCAGCGCAGCCCCTTTGTCTTCCTGCAGTGGCGAATTTCCCTCGAGTGCAGCTTTTCCTCGGGCCTCTCTGCTGCCAGCACCTCCTCCCTGGGCAGCACTGTCCTGCTGCAGGGCTTGTCCCTGCCCTGTCCCCTGCCCTTCTCGCCCTGCTTGTCCTGCTGCCTCCTGCACATCTCCGCTTCTCCTCCCTTCTGCCGCCAAACTTCCATCTGGTGCTGTTAGGAGAAAATCAAACATTGTTTTACTCAGCACCSTGTCAGTGTCACAGGCTTTACAGGCTGTAAATGTGCCATTTCTGCCCAGCAATGAGGGACATCAGCCTGGGCACCAGAAGAAACTGTGTGCTGCCTCTCATCACATCCCTGGGCTCTGGTTATGTCTTTTGTACTGTTCTGGCACCTGGCATTGAAAATGTAAGAAAAAACATTGATGCAAAGGCATTTTTCACCTCTCCCAGCCATGCCTGTCCTGCTCTGCCTCTGTCCCTGCCTGCTGGGAGCTCGTGTATGTGTGTGTGCAACTCCTGTAAGCTTGACAGGGACACTGAGAAAGTCAGAAATAGGCAGCAAATTGCCCATGTGAAATATGCACACGAAAGAAGAACACTCAGCTTGCCATGGATTCTGTAATCACATCAGGGAATAAGACAGGGCTGAGTCCTGCCCTTGGGAACCACGGCATTTCCCAAGGAGGCACACGACCTGGAAGCACATGGAACCTCAATACGTTCCTGCTTTCCACAGCTATTTTCCTGACTCACAGACCATTTTTTCATGGTCTGGATTCTTCTACTAAAACCATTTAACTGCCAAAAAAGCATTAATTATACAGGACTACAGAAGCCAGCTAGTTATCACCCAATTTTTTACCAGTCAGGAAAGAAAAAAAGCACAACAGCCAAAGGAAATGGAAAGGGCAAACACTTCTGTAAAAAGACTTGAGTGAGTAAGACTTAAYCCTTGTCCCTGACTGACAGCCAATCTTACCTCCACTGACATCACACTCTGCACTTGCTGCGTTCTCTTCTTCCTCACTGGCATACAAATCACCAGGTTCAGGGKCAGAATTCACAGGATGATCATTTCCAGTTGCTTTTGCTGTTTCCTCCTGGACTGGTTTGYAGTCTTCAAAACCTGTCACAAAGGAAATGTGAAGCAGGACAGAGAAACCACCAGAGAGCAAAAGGGGAGTGTAAGCCATTCATCCATCTCAGCTTTAAAATGGTTTAAAATGCATTTTTGGACAAAGCCTTACATTGAAACACTAGCAGAGAAATGCTGATTCAGGRTTACATTCTGAGTGGATATTGAGCTCACAGCAGCACTGAGTATTCCAGCAGCTTGAGCAAATCCAGCAATTCCCTGAGCTGCATCATGAATGAGCCCAAAGGCAAACACAGCAGCACAGACATGCAGAATATGCACAGGGCTGTACTCACCMCCTCCTTCCTTGAGAGGAGAATCCCCGTTGCCATCCTCCATGTTCAACATCCTGCTTTCACAGGGCTCTGGAAGACATTCCTYCTCCTCCTCCTCATTCCTGTTACCTTCTCCTGACCCAGCCTGTCTGGATTCCCCATTAAACTCAGCATTAGGATGCTGCTTTGCCATTACATTTTCATCATCCCTCAGTGTTACACCTTCTGGTGTTGTTTTTTCTGCTCCATCTATTCCTTCCTTTTGCAGTGCAGAAGTCTCCTGATTTYCCTCTGGTCTGAGGCAGTTCTCCTCCCCATCCTCATTTCCATAGTGTGAATGTGCTGTGCTACCAGATGTATTTTTGATATCACACTCCACTTTGCCATTCCCATTGTCTGTCGTTGTTTCAGCATGAGACTCAACCTCAGTGCTGCACTGAATGCTGATGGACGAGACAGAGTCCACAGACCTCCTCTCTGAAAAGAGCAAAGAGCACTTTTAGTGTTTGTCACTGAATACCTGCATTTACTGGGCACTCACAAAGGGACAGGATACCATCCAACAGCATTCTCCACATTACACCATCTGAGGATATCATGACAAAATTCCAGTAAGTGCAAATGGAAGAACACTGCCTAGACCTATGAAGTATTAAAATTAAAGCCATTTAACATGGAGGTTTTTTTCTGCTAATGGAAATAAACCACATTAGTTCTATCACTCACACAGAAATAAACTTCCAAATGCACCTCTAAATATCGTTCAGACAGGATTTAGCACAGACTCTTGAGCTTCATTCCATAAAATACTTCAACCATAGCAATAATCCCTCAGTGCCTTTCTGTTAACTCACTGAATATTAGAAAAATCTCAAAATGTTCTGCCTACATTCTTCCAGCCTACCTGCTGCCTGGCTCCAYCTCAGCACCTAAACTGCTCAGCAAAGGCTCATGTTCTCACTGCCAGGGGCTGCCTGCATTTCAGTGGCAGATGTAGAATTAATAACAGATAAAACAGCTGAATTTTYCCATTTCAGTAGGACTGGCATAGGTTTCCCTGTGCAGACTCAACACACACACTGGACACACAAACTGTTAAACATGCACCAGGTCAGCCTCTCTCAGTCTCATTATAAACAAAACTAACTTTGTTGCTCATCCTCAGAGTCCCTGTCAGAATATCCATCACTTCCATCTTTCTTGCTGCCAGAGGCCTGCAGAGCCTTCTGGGATGAGGTTTCACTCTCCTTTCCACAGTCYAAATTACGGTTTTTGTCATCTGGGAATGACTCTGACATTCCATCCGTTTGATCACCAGTCTGTCCCTCTTCATTAGCTTCTTCATCTGCTTCAAAATCTTCATCATATTCTAAAACACAAGAATTGTACTGTGAGACAGGAAACAGAATTCACAACTAATTAAGTTCTTTTTAAGCAGACAGAAGTTAACTTCATTAATCTCCCTTTGCCCTTGAATTGGGTCAGTCTTTTTAAAGCCATGAGAGAATCTCAGACCACAGTTTGGAATTGTCAGAGCACCTTACCATTGAGAAGCATTTTGTTCTTCACACAGCAACCAAAATGCAGCAAAACTACTGATTAATGCACCAAGTYAAAACAAAAACAATCAAAATCAYKAGCCATAGAAAGTACTAGAAAAATKTAGAGCTGGGCAAGCTCRGAAATTAAATGTAAGAATCTCTTATTACAGGAGAAAAACTGGTTGTGATGAAAAAAAAAATATACAAGCACTTGAGAAAGCTGGAGGAAATTAATATATTGTAGTGCAAAATACAATAAATGTACATTGACATGGTTAAATAGCACAGAAGTATCTTTTACAAACTCAGTGAATTGTATGAACTCCAGCCAAAGGGAACTGCAGAGGTGCTCTGGTATCACACTGCTCTAACGTGCTCCTCCAGATCTCGGGGGAAATGCCAGTACAAACAAATCCTGCACAGAATATCCACTGCTACATCCACATTCTGATTTCAGCCGAGCACTTGTCTGACCAGCTGTGACATCTGACAGAGCACAGAACCCCAGAATAAGCAGAGTTGGGAGGGCCCCAGGATCCCTGAGCCCATGTCCCTGCGCTCAGAGCACTCTGCTCAGCTCTGCAGATACA